AAGAAACAAATTTCCTATTCTAGATTTTCAGTAAACGTAAAAAATATCAATACTTTCTCTTTTGAATACTTTTTCTTTATTTCGGAGAAATTTGAGAGTGAAATTTTACTTGTGTCATACAGACCTGATAAATTACAAACAGAGGGTTAAGTGCAATGTAAGAAGAGAATCTGTCACAATTTGTACTTATATTCTCACAGTTATAATTTCTAATTCTACATCATGTTTGAGTTATATAATGAATGTTTTTTATCGATCGTAGAAATGATACAGCCGACGCAATTCGTAAATTATGCGAAGACTCAGTGTTAGCATCAGATGTGTCTCGTTGGAGAGGAGCAGCGGTGAGGGAGATCAGACAGTACGACAAATATCTGTACGAGTACTTTGACCGGGAATTAAAAGACAAAGGCGAGGAAGTGTGGACATTTTGGAATGCTGTGTTTTACTGTGGCACCATTTATACAACTATAGGTAAGTTAACCGCTTCTCGTCATTTTTAGCATCCCTGATCTTATTGTTAATAGAATTAAAGTAGCATCTCTACAATGAAATTTTAAAGCGTGAATTCTAAGCTTTAAGCTTTAAGTCATAAGAAATTAATCAATCACAATCAAAAGAGAGGAAAACAATTGACTAAGATTGGTTAATTTCTTTAAAATTTTATCAGAAACTGTTTAACGCGACATAAAATTTTGCAAAACATTTTAAAATTTACAAGTGTACATAGAAAAGAAAATAATAATTAAAAATAATGAATTCAATAATAGTATTGATGAAACACACACAAATTTTATTAAATAAGAGCGTACATATTTGTTTAATTAATATCATTGCTGAATCAAAGATATTATTTTAAATTAAACTACTGTTAACTAATGTTACCAATACGATAATATTCTATTCTATGTAGATTCTCAAATCTAATTAATAGAATAATTCTGCATTTGTATGCGGTATCATCAATGTTATCTTCCTTAAAGAGAATTCATTTTTTACCCTTTTTAAAAATATATTCAACACGTGAGAATATTTATTTTCTTTGGAAAGAGAGGTAGGCAAAAAACGAATTGATACTATTTACACGTATCTGGAAATAGAGCAATTGTCCTGAGATACATATTTTTTTGTCAAAAGTAGAAAAGCTAATAAGTTTCTCTCTCTCTCTTAAGAGATTTCATTATTATGACAAAATGCTTTAATTCTGACAAAACATTTTACGACGATGTTTTAACATATGTCGTCCCCGTTCTCATAAAGTTCGTGGAAGTTATTTTTATTTGTTTGGTTTAATGTGATATTCAGTTTATTTATCTTGCGTAGCTTTCTCCTCGAGCGAGAAATCGAAAGCCAGTGGAGGAATAAAGCAGCGGGATGAAGCGTATATACGCTATAATGTATATCAATACGTTGCGTATGCGACGTGATTTCAAGCTCAATTCTTGCATATTGCTTTACATATAGGTTTATATGGGTTGTGTCGGTTTCTGGGAATATAGATGCATGCGGTATGAATGCATGCATATCTCTGTAGAATGCAAATGATGGATTTATCCCTTGTAGGTATATAGGAATAAATAAAATAATTTTTACATTATCAATGAAATTTTTATTAATTTTATTAATTGTGATAATGAAAAGCTCTTATTTTTGTGTAACATATTTTATGAAAATAAAAATGTGGAATCACTGATTTCATTTCTTATCTTATTTATGATTTAAAGAATCTTATATTTTCTCTTATTTTGTTCGATATTCGATTAAAGAGCAAAAATAAGATATGATATTGGATCCACTCAATTACATTTTTGTTTATTAGTATTCATTTTTTTTTATACGAGTTGTCATTTTGATTCCTTGAAATTAATTAGTATTTTTCAATTAATATTATAGATTAAATGGACTTTACAGATCCAGAATCAATGACTGTATCATAGTTAGTATGTTATACTATACATTTTTTAATGTCAGCTCCAAAGGTTTATACAAATAGTTTTGACATATTATATATTTTATAAATATTTACTGTGTTATCAATTATTTATCCAAGAGTTTACCATGTTTTCCAAAATATGATAAAATAAAACACTTTTGCAGTCTTTTATATGAAAAATACACACTTTTTATTTTACTGTGATATACATATGACGTACGTAACCCAGTTTCCTAAGTGCTTTGTGTAATTTTTACACTCTCTTGCGTGAAAATTGATATGTACGCGTGGCCAAAATATTACTCGCCAATATACAATTCTTAGAAATTTTATTCGCTGATATATCGGCGTTTTGCGCATATAGTATCTATTTGATTCAGTTCCATGTATCGGCGATGACATTTCGCTAATATGTTTTTTGATTTACGATTACAATGATATGAGAGATAATAAAAAAGTAACGATTACTATATAAAAAATAGATCTTAAATAGTTAAAAAATAAAATTAAAAAAAAGATTTAGGTACTTCGTTAGACATCGTCGCTTTTGCACAATTGCTTCTTCGTACATTTGCATAATTTTTCACGTTGCGGAAAACACATTTTCCGAACTGTTTAAGAATCCAAAACTTATGATCTCGAACACAAGTACAAAATAACAGTGATGCGTTTTACGAGAAATGACACAGATTATCTGGAAACATCGGTTTCTTCATGTTTATTCAGACATATTCGCACTATTTATACACGGACCGATTGCAAGCCTGCATTAGATTATTTGGATTAAGCGCTACATGATACATGGACGACCAGATTAAAAGTTGAAAATAAAAAGTCGAGTAAACTATATTATTAAAAGAGAACTGACTCAAATTTTGTCGCAACATCTATGACCATATGAGACATTACGGTGTTCACGCAAACGTGTAATAAAATGCATTTACGTATATAAAGGTATACCCTACGCGTCTCTCTTGCTATCTCGGTTGTGAAAAACTTGGCGATTCGAACACTGCGCACATTCATGCGTGCAGCTTTCTATACGACTTTGTGCGTGCCCACGCGTACTATTTCGAGTTCTGTCATTATATAATGGAAAAGAACTGGGTAAGATGATCGTAGGAGGACATAGACAGGCATGTCATCGTATTTTTAAGTTCTCGACAGACGCAAAGTGCAAGAAATCGTCTAACAACTTTATCTCGCTCGATCAAATTAAGCGCGCTTACTCAGCCGCAGTCCATTGTGATATCGGATAGAAAATATCGTGCAAAATTATTACCGAGACATTTTGCGCAAGCCGGTATCTGATTGGCAATTAAATGGGATTGTATAAACGGATGTTTGTATGACAATCGTTATATCTGGTAAACTTTAATTAAATGAATGCGAGGAAGCGATACCAAATATTGGCCATTTTTTCAACTGACTTATATATGTGATGTGTGTATACATATAGATTTATTTATCACGACAAACTTAATTTATAATTGCATTTATTATGATATATTTTTAAAATAAAAAAAGAGTAACATATTTCTTTAATAAGTGAGAGAGATAAAGAAAAGAACAGAGAATTTATAAATTAATTAATTAATAACGTAAAACTTAATGAATTAATTAATTTCTCTGTACATTTTTGCAAAATAACTGTTAACTTTTGTTATAAAAAATGAAAATGCATACATTTCAAGCAGACAATGTGCGAATATATCTTTTCCATCAAAACAACAAGAATAAACTCTTATTTAATTTCATTCATGCTTTTATCTTCGTTGCAGTGATGATAATTATTAATGGATATTGTGCAACATTGTTGCGATGCTAAGTTGAAGCGATATTGAAAATTATTATTTTGGTATAATTTAGAGAGTAGACGAAAACATGTTTCTGCATATTGTATTTTTGACCCATAAGTTTCGTTCGACCACGAATCGTTAATGAAATATGATAAATGCATAATAATTAAATTAATTTTTTACAAAAGTTTTTGCTTATGATTTCAATATTATTTGAATGCGTTGTATAATTACCATTTTTATTTATACAAAGGATATTTATTGCATAAGAATACGAGTATTTGCATATTCAAAATTATTTTTTAACCTTGTCATAAATATTTCATAGAACAAGATGATATTGTTTTTAAATCTATTTTTTATTTATTAGTAAAATTATCAAAACTTTAAAGTAAAATGTTCTTTTTTTAGCCTATTGATATAAATATATAAAAATAACTGTTTTATAAATTCCGACCTTCACTAATTTCATTTTATTTAATTATTTCATTTAAATTAATTTGTTATTACTTGAGATAATAATTTAATTATTATTCTACATTTTACAATATAAGTCTATCTTGGCCGCTTTTGTTTCGTTAATTTCTCCATAATCTCGTAAATTGTTCCGCTTGGATTTAATTGTTGTTAAAAGCATAATAATTCAGTAGTAATAACTACAAAATGTGACAATAATTTAGGCTCTTCTATACAATATATGTCATCTATATAATTATGAACATAATTATAAAGCATTTATAAATATAGTATTACACAGATATACACGTATTTACTATTTAATCGCATAATTTTACCATAATTTAATCCTTGTAAATTTTTTAGTAACCTATATTACTGACGTTAAAATATTAATTTTTTTTACGAAGTAGTTCCGACTTGTTCGTTTAATATTATTTGGATACATTAATTATCTGTTATTTTTTATTTCTTCATTTATTTCTTCCTTAATCTTTTAATTTTTATATTTAATTATTCATTAATTCGTCATTATTTTTTATCAAACATAAAATCTAAAAAATTTTCGACGTTGGACAATCGACGCATTTTTAGACGACTCCAGTACAAGATTTTCATTTTTGACGAGGTCATAAGATTAAAGGGTTACCCGATTCTGATGGTGCAGTGTAACCTCGGAACTGGGCGACCGAATGGGTTGCGGTGGTGCAGGCGCAGCGTCGCGACGCCAAAGCCGCGGTTTCGATTGCGCGTGATGTCCCCGCTCGATATCCGCTGCGGCGAAGCCGGTCATCTGGTTCCGCCACCGTTGCTGGTAGCAGCAAACGTCACCGTGCCGACGGTGGTGGTGGTGACAGATGGTGGGAGCAGCCTCCGTTTTATTTCTGTCACGGCCTCGTTGGGGCTGGCCTCGCGAGTGAGTTCTTGTTGCGAGAGTTTCTCTCGTGTACACGAAGACCGTCGAACGACAACGACAACGACGACAACAGCAGCGACGGCGACGACGAAGAGTCGCGCGATGGAAGACAGTTACACAGTTCATAGACGTCGCAAGGCAGCTGCCAGGAAGCGTGAGAAAACTCCTGATCCCTTATCAAGGGGTGCTGCTTCGCATATAGATGCTTCAGATGATGAGGATGAAGAGAGGCGCGCCAGAATGGAGAGAATGGCTGAAGAAGCGGAGAAAATGGAGCAGCAACAGAAAGAAAATAGACTGTCACAACATCAGAAGCAGGAAGTGTCTCTGAAAGAACTAGAGAATAAGGGAGAGAACAATCGGGAGCAGCGTCCAGCTAGAAGAAAGGATAAAACTGAAGCAAGGAATTCTGTGAATGTGGATGACATGATCGCTGTACGCGCCGAAGTGGCCGTCAAGTCAGCGGATGGAAATACTTTGAAGACACGTGACATTGACTCTGTAGCAACTGGCGACAACAGCACGCGACCGGTAAAGCAGATCACCGAAATAGCGAAGAGATTTGATGATGGTACCACAAAGAAAGACATTATCAGGTCTGAGATTGTTCAAGTAGTTAAGGATAGTGCTGTCCAAGAGACATCGCAGACACCGAAAGAAACAACAAACAGCGAGACCAACAGACCTGCTGAAGTACGCAAGGTTGAAAGGCGACTTAAAAGGAAGTCGAAGGAACGCGTGGAGAGATATAGCCGGTCAGACTCCAGTGACGAAAAGGACGAAAAGAGTGAGCCGACTCAAAGACGGACAAAGTCACCGGAAACAGTCAAGTCCAGGTCGTCCAAAAAGACGAGCGGAAAGAGTCGAATCAGTGATCCGGAAGCGCAAAAGGACGCCGAAAGAAGAAGTCACCGAGAGAAGAAGTCACCGAGTCGGCAGAAGTTCGAATATGAGTCTCGAACGAGAGATGATCCCGTGCCACATTTGAGACCTTGCAGTCAGATCGAAGATGCAGACGAGGATCCGAAAATGGTGAAGAAGAGCGAGGATTTGCCGCAGAAATCTGCCGAAGAGCGAAGAGTGAAGAGATCCTCGATCGAGATAAAGAAACAAGTCATCCCGCTGAGTAACGAAAGCTTGATCGAGGATTTCGCGAGGGCTCAGAGAGAGTACATGTTAAGAGAACGCAATATCCTGGATCCGGAAGACATGTTTCAAGACGCTATTGAAGTTAGTTCCTTGAGGAGACGAAAGTTCAGTCAGACGTACAGCGAGAGCGAGCAAGAGGACATTGTTCAGAATGTAACGCAATCTTGCAATGTAGCTGACAAGAAACAATCATGGTTCTCTTGGTTGTTCTTTTGGCATTGGAAGAAGGATGAAATTGTTACAGAGAAGAAGACTGAAGACGAACCGAAGCCCGTTCCAAAAGTTGAAGAGATCGAAGTGGAAAAGGAAGAAGCTTTGGAGAAGATTACTCTATTGGATTTCTTCAGGGCTCTCAGAGATATCGTCAGCGAGTTCAAGACCTTCGTGGCGCAGAATCCACGTGAGACTACGATCATCAGGCGGCTGCGTAATCGCTGCATAACCGGACTACTACTCGTAATAATCTACTGCGGTCTCGGCGGCTTCGTCTTCCGTTTCGTCGAGGGTGCCTTCGAAACATTCTATAAATGTGGCGTGAAACGCGTAAAGCGTGATTTCCTAGATACTCTGTGGAATTACAGTCACAATTTGAGGGAGGACGATTGGAAGAGCATGGCGCGCAGGAAGCTGATGGAGTTCGAGGAACAGCTTCACATAGCTCATGAAGCTGGCTTGCATACGTATAGCGGTCAAAAGAGCTGGAGTTTCTTGAATGCCGTCGTGTATTGTCTCACTGTCATCACCACTATCGGTGAGAATACATTGTTTTGGAAGAAGCTCAAGGTGGGAATAATTTCCCTGATATGAAGAGATCATCTTCTAAAAGTCTTCCTTTATCTATAGGCATAATATCGTCTATATTGTCCATTTTATATAAGATAATTATGTTTTAAAAGTTTTACGTATACTTCCCGAATTGCGTTTGACTTCAAACATTTTATAAGTTCCGTATTGATTTTCCGACATACGAATGCAATTGTAATGGTATTCATCTACATATTAAAATCATTAAAAGAAACGTACAGACGTCGGAAAAATAAAAATAAATTATGTAAAAAAGTCAAAGCATTTGTTTAAAGTATACGAATTTTCTTTGCTCTTTTAGTTAAACAAATTTTGACAAATCCTAATTTAAATTCATTAACAAATTCACGATATTTAAAAAAATAGTATTCTTTAAACTCGTTTAAATAGTTTGTAACTGTTGTTTATATCATCTTGATCGCCGAGACGCGATTGGATTATAGATGTAAGGATAACTCCAGAAGCTCGATGTCATTGACTCGTATTGTACAATGTTCACAATAAGCAAGGTCTTTCGATTAGATTAGATAATAAACACGCAGCAAAAATACGTTCTAATTCAAATTTATGTTATTCATTTATACGTTGACCGTATAAATGAAATCGGTCGATTGCATTCACTGAATCATGAGGTAATTGCAGCTTGTTTACGAGAACACAACTGACTTAGCTCTGTTGAATAATCTAAACTTAGACTTTACTCGCGATGTGCGTAAACGTGCTGCTTTTGCGACGATTCAGAAACCAATGCAAACAAAATAAATTATCATCATTATGATTTCGTTCCATTACACATGTGTCGTATAATTAAACTTGGCAATTATATTTATCATAATAAAATAAAATATATAGTATATACATAATTATATAAAAAAAATATGTACATATATAATTATACATACATAGCAATATCGTATTATATTATATTGTATGAGATAAAATTATTTATATGACAAACTTATATAATTATTTTTATAATTATATAATTTATAATGATTATAAATTATATGTATATAATTTGTTACACTATACATACAAAGATATATTAAATATAATATAAATAAAAATACGATACTGAATACAAATTTTAATATGGCTCAAATCAATCACTAGTACATCAACATACCTAATACTACAAGAGATGATTATATAGATTATGCTACAGTACTATAACTGATGATTTTTTATTACAGGATATGGACATATTTCGCCAAGTACGGACACAGGAAGGGCCATCACGATTGTGTATGCAATTTTCGGTATCCCAATGTTTCTCATCATTTTGGCCGACTTTGGTAAATTATTCACACGCGGTATAAAATTTCTCTGGGCATTTGTAAGAAGACTATACTACACTGGTAGTTGTCGTAAAGTCCGTCGCACTGTGCCTGTCCAGGTAAAATGATTAGATTGTAAGAGAAAATTGTTCCAAAACCAAGTTTATTAATTAAAAAAGAAATTAATCCAATTTCCAAATCCTAGAATCTTTCACAATATCTATGATTTAATATCGTGCATTTTTAGTACATCTTTTGTATTCTTTTAGCATTATTTTTTATCTTCAATTACTCAATTGTCCATTTATCGAGTCGATTAATAATTTCAAATAAGTAAAAATTAATGTCTTCCAAACCTAAATAAAGAATAAAGAAAATAGAGACGTGCGAGGATTATTCAAACAAAATTAAAAATTATGTTTAATTGTATTTGAAAATTATAAAACATTCTTTTATTATTTTTAACAATTTTATCTTGTCCACTGTTATCGCAGGAAGTTATGAAGGGCGTGCAACTCGTTTACGATCTCGCCAAGTTACGGCGGCCCTCGCAGATGAATCCAGACGAGATCGACGAGTTGCAAAGGCAGCAAGTCCAGCAGCCGCAGACAGTCCTGAATGTGGACGCCAACACGCCAGGTACACCGGGTACACCCGCATTATCGGCGTATGTTGTCGATGACGAGTTTAATCTACCAATTTCGCTGGCAATCGTCATTCTCCTGGCTTATATCTTCATAGGAGCCACTTTATACTCCAGGTGGGAGTCCTGGGATTTCTTCGAGAGCTTCTACTTCGTCTTCATCTCCATGAGCACTATCGGCTTCGGCGATTACGTGCCAAAGGTAATTTTTTTCGAATTAAACATTATTTAGTCAAATCAAAGTGTTAATAATTAATAAGTAATTAATAATAATACTCTTCATAAATTCGTAGATAAAAATTTATTTTGTGATTTCTTCATTGACTTTGATAGACATGAATAATGGTCACTGTAAACCGTGAGGTAAATCGCACGAAACCGAAATATAGATCAATGAGAGTTACTTGAGTGAAATTAGTGGAAAGTTATATAATTAGTGTATTTGTCTAACAAAAAAATACGGGGAAATGTTCTCTTCGATTTTAATGAGTTTTTGGTATGTTGTGGTTTTTACCATAAATCAAAATAAGAGACATGAATCTTTTATACGTGTCCATACGCTTTTAAGGAGTGAAGTACCTAAATGTAGTTAATTTTTTTCTAAGCGAATATCATCAAAACTATAAGAAAAACTTTTTTATTAAATAAATAAAATTAGATAATTTTAATAATACTTTATAATAACGATAAACAATTTTTTTTTAAATTTAATTTATATAAAAAATTAATTAAAATCAATTTTTTTTATTATTATAAAATACTTTTAGAACCGTTCAATTTTTATGTAAAAAAATTTTTTATATTTTTTCGTAGTTTCAACGATATTTTTGAAAAATATTACTGATTTTCTTCAAGGGGATGTTTCACTTCTTAATAGTACATATGGGCCACTTAAAAAGATACGTGTTTATCTCTTTATTTAGGTCTAGACTACAACATATTAAATTCAGAGGACTATTTCCTATATTTCTTTGTAAGTATACGTAGCGTTGTCAATTATTTAGTATTGTCATGACTGTGCTATATTAGGAATCCACGAATTCCATTTAATTTGCCCTTAGCGCCTCTTTGAATTCGCCTCTCGAATTTTATTTATAATCTCTCGACAGAGTTTCCATCTTATGCAGCAAACGATTAATTTACTCTCATATCTTTTTTTCACGGTGGCGTTCAGATGGTAAGCTTTTTAACCTGCAAGATCTCTCTCAAGGGATGCTGTATATCGCACCGTATATGTGTATTTTCTTTATTTCTCACAAGCTTATTTTCACTCGTAAATCGTTTCGTTAATTAAGAAAGTAAACCTTAGTTAATGAAGTGTTAAATACTGTAAAATCCACGATTTATAGAACTTAATGGTTTCATTTTTTATTTAGTATCCCGTATACATGATGGGTTCAATAGTATACTTGGTGTTTGGTCTGGCGCTAACATCCATGTGCATCAACGTCGTGCAGGTGAGCAATTCTTTAAAAAAAAAATAATAATAATAAATCCAATCAAAATTAATACCAACCGCAAAATGTTAATATATTATGTATATATATATTATATATATATATATTACTTATTCTTTATGTTTTTGAATCTGCTTAATCGCATGTTATCAGGTGATGCTATCGGATTCATTCAAGCAAGCGAGCCAGAAACTCGGAGCCACGATCGGTTTTGAAGTCGCCGAGGATGACAACTCGGTGAAACCGGCACCACCGCCGCTGGTCGAAGTCGCGGACGTCCACATGAACGTAAAGGAGTCTGGAAGCGACGAAAAGATCGCGCCCAGAGCAAAGCAGGAGGATGTTGACTTATAGATGCATTTCTTTCAGGAGGAACTTTTATGCGTCTTGATCAAGAGCTCGCTCAAGCTCGCTTCTCGCGAGAGCGAAATGCGTCTTTCTCTCTTTTTCTATTTCTCTCTTCATTCGGCCTTAAGAGAATAATTGTTCGCTGGCTTATGCAACGCAATGATGACACGGTAATCATTGCGGTACACACGCAATCAAGCTTCGAAGGACAACCAGGACCGTCTGTACTCTTAAAACCTGCAGAGAAGTGCAGCGGACAGTCGATTTTGGAATTTTAATCAGATCTAAATAATCTGTCTCATGGGACCTAAATTAGATTCTGGATATCCAAATTTCTCTTAAAGACGGTCCCGATCGTCTCGGTGACAATAAAATCTTTGAAGCACTATACGCTACACGTCTATATCGTGAAAATCGCTTCGAATACTCTGACATGTAGTATTGGCCATTTAAAAAAAAAATACTGAGACATATTAGTCATTATTATTTATTTTGAGTATTAAAACTGAACAATAAAAATAATTAATCACTGTCTTTCAATATTAAATTGATCAATATAAGATTTCTATAAGGGTAAACTTATATATTTCCGAATGCAAAGATACATTGAAAAAAAATCTTAATTTTAAAATAATATTTCTTTGCTTGTATTCTAAAAAAATTATTTCTTTGGATCAATGAAATTTTTTTTTGAAATTAAGATTTTCTTATATAAATTTAAAATAATAAGATTTTAAAGTAAAAAAATATCTTAATTTCAAAAAAACTTTTATTAAACCAAAAAAATAATTTTCTTGAATACGCGAGCAAAGAAATATTTTTTTGAAATTAGAATATTTTTTTCTCAGTATACAGAATTACAGAATTAGTAATTTTATGAAAACTGGAGATCTAACTGTATCTGCCATCGCGATTGATAAGTGCTCGAAAAGATGGAGCTATAAACGATTGAAATTCGTAAAACAATTATGTATAATCCAACGAAAGTGTCAAAATGAATTGATTCGAAATACGCACAATTATAATTTAATTGCGTTTTACCTGACGTTTCGTAGGTTTATAACAATTTTGAGAGAAAGAGTTTGATAAATAAATTACATCTGTTACACCAATAGTGGAATGGAATAACAATTATTCTTAATTGTAGTCTTGGAATGGAATAACAATTGTCTTTAATTATAGTTTTATTTTATAATTTTTGACGTAAATTTAAAAGTACGAGAAAAAATAATTCTAACAATATTAGAATTTTGTGATATATTTACTAAATTTGTATAAAGTTTTATAATTATTATGACATTGTACAATTATAAAAACATAAATGATAAATGTGCCATACTTTTTCCTTTCTTAAATGACATTTATATTTTATTTTATATTAATATATTTTATATTATATATCTCCTATTTTATATTCCACAAAGCTATTGGCGAATTAGCGTAATTTTCCAATTTACAGTCAATGCCTGTTACAGCGATGTCTCCAGATAATGTGTAGTTATGAATATGATGGATTGCGAGGACTTATTTTTGACACAAAGTAATACCTACATCAAAAACAAAGAAACTATCGCTACTCTGCAGCCATTCTTGCCAAATGTTCGCGGGTAACAATACAACTCGCGATTTATTTTTCGTAGTTTAGCGTCTATTGACAATAAACATAAGGAAAAACTGGTATTTTGTATATTCTATAGAATTTATCGCGTGACTTTGTAATTTCTCCTTTCGAGTCCTTTTCCGCGTAATGCGGAATTTGCAAGACATTTCAATAACTTATCCTAAATTTTAATCGGTTATTTATGATAAATTATTTCGCGATTTCGATAATCCTTTCGTTAGGATTGTGAAAGAAAGTTATTATTTATATCTTTTTCGTATAAAAAAAGTGTGTTTAATTTGCACATTATGATAATTTCTAATCTTTTCAGTTTTTTATGTCTCATCTACGCTTAGAAAAAATAAATTTAAAAACTTATATTAAAAAAGGAATAAAAATTTACTGCATTTGCATAAAATTGGAATAACTGATTTTCAAATTAATATCTGTAAAAAATTTAAAGCTCACTTTTTGAATCTCTAGAATTTTATAACTGAAGATTCATAATTTTTTTATAAAATCGTTTATTAAATCTTTTTTTTCATAATTGCTGCGAGTGTATCGTTGTATAATAGGATGTAATTATAATAATAAAGGAACTTGAAGCCTGTGACAAGAAAGTTCCGATTTTCGCGATAAAGAAAAATACTCGTGCCTTTTTGAGGATGAAATTATTTGTTGAACTTTTACAGTAATTATATAAAAAAAATTTTTGTGTGTGATACAGTTCAATCTACAATTAAAATAATGTCTACTAAACAGGAATATTATTTTTCTTGAAAACAAGCGAAAAAGTGAAATGATGAATGTATACATGTATAGCGTTTTTGTCATTTTACAACTTGTTGAAAATTAAATCCATGTAAATTATGAGCTAAATGTATAAATCGCTGTAATAAGATATTAATATTATTGTAACTATTATTTATCGAATTTACCTATAAGTAAATGTTTTTCTCTCAAGTCTATTATCTCTTGTCAGAGACATGGCGACCTTTCTGCATACTTATACGTACTGATATACGAAAAATTTACAAGTTTTTAACGACAATTTCAAACAATCTAGTTGAAAGAGATTTTTATGATAAAGATATTCTCGGTGATTTTCTAATTTGCAATTGTGATTGTCTTTTTTAAGGTAATGATACAAATATAATATAATACATATACATATATGTATATATGTATTCTGAGTGGATTTGAACTTCGATCCTAATATAAAAAGTAGATAATTACGTAACTGTTGTCTTTGGCGAATAAACGAGATAGATACAAAATAAACATTTAAAACATTCAGACTCTAATATTTACACTTATTTCTTATTATATAAAAATCTATAATTTGGATTTTGTGAATTTTCATTGTATTTTTTGTTTTTAATCAATCATTAAAAAATTATTTTAATTGTTTATTAATTCATCATCTTTACATTTCTCTATTTTGTTTGTATTTGATCAAGCTTTTTCTTATAAAGATAATACTTTTTTAAATTAATAAATTTTTCATCAAATATAATATAATTTTTATGATATTTTCTTCTTTTTGTTTTTAATTAAACTTATTCTGAACTAATAATGTACATCTTTGTAAAATAAATAATGTCATAATTTAAAATATAATAATTTCATAATTTTTGAAACGTTTAATTTTTTGCTTTAACACAAAACTTTCTTTTTCAAATAGGTATAACAGTTCATTTTCTCTAAATGTATTTAATAATTTCTGATAATTCATTTTTGTTTTTAATCAAATTTTTTTTTACCAGCAAAGTACTTCATAAAAAAATAATTTCACTTTAATAATTATTAAATTTTATTTATATATTTCTTTCTTCCTAATTTTGATTAAGATGTTTTAATTTTTAATATAAAATAATATTGAAATGTTTTGGTACTTTTTTGTACAATAATTTATTGTACAATAATTAATTTCTCTTTAAATGTAACTTTTTTTAAATAGATTCAATTGTTCGATGCCTCGAGAAGCTCGAGGAATATATTAGTCGATATAAACTCTTACATACCTTTCTATTGTAAGACTTTCTGTTGGCAATCCTACATCGAAACGAAGCGTTTCTTGTGCCGTGTGCATGGTGCGTCCAGTTCAGTGCAGTAGTTCAGTAGAGAACCAAGATGGCTGAAGGATGACAGTATACAGCTGTCAAGCTGTATCGACCAAATAACATTTCAAAGAAATTGGAGGGAAAATGTCTCATGTGCAATATGTGGACGAATTGGTAAAGGAGTATTTGCTCTTCAGGGGTTTTAGTCAGACCTTAAAGACTTTTGATAATGATCTGAAAGCAGAAAAGGAAAAGGGATTTAGGGTGAGAATGATTATTGCAAAATAACAAAGTATCCAACCAAATAAGAGTATGCCTTATTACATGAACAAGACAATTGAGTTCAGGATAGTTGCACAATTGTTTTTACGTCATTATTTTTATCTGCTTGCTTTATTCTACTGTTGTATATAATATTTATCATGCTCTTTATACAAAGTATTATAGTATATATGCACTGAAATATTTGTATTAGAACTATACATAGTATTAGTAAAAAATTGTAAATCTATATCAGGAAGATAATTTAATATCCAATAATGTTTGATTGAGCAGGTAGATAAAATAATCGATCAATTAATGCAACACATATATACCTATGATCTGACGTCGCTGAGAGAATTATGGGGACATTTTGATACTAGAATGTTTTGCCGATTAGAAAGTCATTTTACACCTGCGATAAGAAAGTTGGAGAATTCCGTATTAAAGATGTATTTGGTCAACGCAGCTGTGAATGGTAAACAAGACAAGATACAGGAATTTTTCACCAAAATGACACCAGAACTACAGGGCCATTCGGAATGGAAGGAATGGTTTGGTATGTTTCTCATTCATTATGAATTTATATCTCAGATTTAGAAGATCATCTTATATGCTTTGTAATATTGCAGCTTTTCCCTTTATCAAAAATCCCGAAGACAATCCAGTTTACTCGGTCCATTTTAGTAAACAGTGGCATGATACTATGTTGGTATCCTTACATAATTTTCTAGCAACAATCTTTCAAGTAAGTAAAAAAAGTATTTTTATTGCATTGCAAAACTAAAATCAATTTCTTTACATAAGTAGGTAGATCTGTTTTTTATTCCTGCACTTAACTGTGCTAGGACTTTCTTTCTCCTTTTTGCTAAATACCAAATATATATCTATTTTACTTTAAGTTTCAAAAGTGTACTAGTTTAGTTACAGAAAACACAGACCTCCTTTTGTGTTGTAACAAAATAAAATTAAAAAACATAAAGATTATGATACAAAATATAATACAAGAATATAAAATAAATACGAATGACGAGAAATTTAATATATTGTTATCTTAGTGTATGCCTCAGCCAACATTACTCACAATTGACGAAGACACAAATAAATTAAAACGTTTGCAAGAGGAAAATGAAACATTGAGGCAACGGTTGAGCGATTCTGTTAAAATAGAAAGCGTATGGGATGTAAATCCAGGTCCGGCACCTCAGCAACCCCCCCTCATGGATGATTTTTACATTATTGCTCAGTATGTTTGTTATTTCATGAAAAAAAGTTCTACAACATAAATATAATTAATGATATCTATAAATAATAGAGAGTCGCCATTACTGGAAAATCCAAAGACGCTGAGGAATCTCATAAGAAATATTGGCGGTGGGTCTAGTCCAATACTAAGTAGAAAGCCTGCAACAAACATAAAAAAAAATACGGAATCTGAGATGGTCTCAACTAAACGAACGAATACGAAAGGACGGGTGAATTCGATCAGTAAGTCCGAGGCGGTCGCTAAGAGGAGCATCAGCTGTGATTCAAGATTAAATAGTTCTAGGAAAAGAGACTCTTCTATAGACACTGCTATCGAAAGAAAAACTAAGGAAAAAATAGACTCCAGTTATATTCTTTTAAGTCAGGTTAAAGAACATTACTAATCTCGGGAAATTTTTACTGTTTCTACTATTTATTACATTAATCATCTTTATACAATATGCATGACGTTTATAGGAGGAATATACAGAGCACAAAACCTCTATAATTCAATGCAAAAGTAATGCGAGTGGATCGTATGTCGCAACGGGCGACGCCGATGGTGTTATTAAAGTATGGACACCGATTCCTTCACCAAAGTAAGAAATTTATTTATACATATGACTTTGTCTATCAATATAGCATTAATTAAAATACGTGATTCTTATTATCTATTTGTATCAGGACTGTTACTACGTTCTCTTCTTCTACGGCAAATTCTAACAAAGCTATCACCTCGTTGGATTGGATATCGAAAAATGAACGTTATTTTCTGCATGGCGACAATAATGGTTTAATTCAATTGCACGACACGCGAGACTGTAAAACGCTCTGGGATATCCAGCACGACAATTCGCGGATCGTCACTTTAATATGCAATCCGACGGAATCTACCTTCGTTTGCTCTGTGTCAGATGGAAATGAAGGAAAATTGTTGCTGTATGATATAAAAACGAAGAAGCTCGAAAGAACATTGCCGCTAGAACAGAACGTTACTGCTTTATGTTCCGCTTTTAATCATAATGGCCAATTACTTATCACGGGATTGTCCAACGGCAATATACTGATACATGATCTGAGGCGAAACGAGATAATAGACAATCTCAACTGCCACTCTAGCCCAATAATAGATATAGAGTTAATTAATGACTTTACGAATATATGTGCGCAAAGTGAGGACGGTAAACTATGCCAAAGAAGCTTGAATCACTTTGGAAAGATCTTGTGGGAGACCAAAATTAAAATCGAGAAAAATCCAGTTCATGGAAAATTATTTACTTTTGATCAGACTGGCAATTATATGTTACTCTGCACACAAACTGGAGGAAATATATATAAGGTATGTGCAAAATATTTTATACACACGTGCTTAATATCGATTGATTATATAATATTAAAAAATTTATTCTGGTGTATTATATTTTTTAAATATTATATACTCAACCGACCTTCCCGTTTCGTCAGATGCCACCAGGTGCGCAAGGAAAGATTTTAGAGCTAGGCGGACACAAAGGTACTCTATGCTGCGACTGGTCGACTGCCAATCAATCTGGAACTTGTATAACCGGAGGTGCAGAAGGGAAAGCACGAGTATCAACACTACTCTCACCATGATATAGAAACAAAATTAGCATTTGTGTAAATTCGTAAGACAAATAGGCAATTACTGATGATATTAATTGAAGATCTTGTAGATATTATTTTATTTACTATATTAAACTTTCAAGTGACTAGATAGAATATACGAGTTTGTGATGTGTGGAATAAGTACATCATATTGGATTTAAGATATTACATTACATCGCCAAAGCGTGGGTAAAGAAAAGATTCGAATATTTTACGAAAAGTACAATGTATCATCACTCTGGCAGTAATTACAATAATATAATAACAGTCTTTTATCTCTTTTAAAAAACAATCAGGGATTATAATATATCAAATGTAAAATGTACAGAGAATTGTAATTATTTTAAGGAGAATCATAAATATCTGTATAATTATTATTACATATATGATCATTTTACTCGTTTTTATAATATAATAAAAAAAAAAGCGATAAAAAAAACAATATGATCTCGTGTGTAAAGTTAGAATTTAGGAAAATAAAACACATGTACAAGAGATCAAGAAAATGTCAATAAATACGAGTCAATTTTAGCACTGCACATTTTAAGTTATGTCAAGCACTTCTTACCTTTTTCACATCTTTACATCTAACATGAAAGGAGTTTCAAGTGTGGTCTTCTCATAGACCATCTATTAAATGGACCTGTCATATCTAGTTGTGGAGACCAATACCTTCTCAGAGCTTCACTTATCTCCGAAGGAGTTAACGGTTTCGTTACAAAATTCTGTAGAGAACAAATAATACATTATGTTGTTCAATATTAGTTTGATTTTTTTACAACTATACCTTGCTATGATAACGCGGCTTGAATGTAAATGGATTAATATAATTGAGTCGTTGCCGATCTATGGCATCGCCGTGCATTTTACCCTGATCGTGCCGAACTAAGAATGCGAGATCAACAATTTGAGCAACTGTTTCATATGCAAGATAAGATAAAATTGTGTATGCTTGCTTCGATACGGTAACATCACCTATAATTAAATAAATACAGTATTTAAAATATAATAAAATGTAGGTTGTGATTCATTTTTATTCTAATTGAGATAGTACCATCCGCGCAAATCCAATCGCTGAATTTATGACGATTTTTGTTTGCAAAAGACACACGACGTGCCTTACTGAATTTCATGTAATGCATCTCATCCATGGACCTTGACGCTATGTCCGCACGAATGCATCTACGTCGTTTAACGTCGTCGACCGAGGATGAATTTTCCATAAGTTCACCTGTGTTGTCAATCTGTTCTAGAAAACTTTGAAACGGCACTTTTTTCTTGGTACCTTCCAGTTGTTCAGGATTCGTGACATTTTGTGGCACATCGTTCACTGTAATAAGTTTTTGAACCGAGGATCCTAATTCTTTAAGTTCTGAAAGATGAAAAATCTTATTTGAAGTAAGAAATAATGGCTGCGGTCCACTTGCTTCTTCCAAATACTTTCAATGCTACGCTCCAAACGCGTGTTTGGATTGGTCCATTACTGTTCCGAATGCTACAATTGCTACGTGAACGCTCCAGCCAACCCATCTCCCGAGGTAAGGCAGTTGGAGAAAATGATGACGTATTAATAACGTATCAGAGTTGCTGGGAGCGTTTCGAAGCATCAAATAAACCAGTCATATCAGTACTACAAATGCTCGGTAGTGTTTGAAGTACTAAGTGGATCGCAGTCAATAGCATATGCATACATCTGTTCTTATGGCTGAACTAATATGTATTTGTACTTAAAATGAAATAGATATATATTAGAAATTTGATAAAAATAAGATCAAAAGTTTTATCATAGTCCAGCGCAGACCTCATAACTAAAAAATTGTTCTGTTTACTTACCAAGATATTTTACAATCCGTTGAAGCTTAATCTTATCTTTACGCAATAAAAAGAGTAGATCTTCACCACTAATAATATTGCTCTTTTTCGAACTAGATCGTCTGTCTGCGATTTCACAAGCTCTTCTAACAATTGCTTTCATTTGTTGTAGCACAACATCCTCTATAATCTTTGCAGATTCAAACAATGGTTCGCTACTGTCACCAAATCCATGCATCATCTGCCGAATTTCTACACAAATTATTTAAACTTCGTTTAACATTTATTTTGTATACAGTATATGATTAATTTTACTTAATAATTTAGTATTTAATATGCAATTATTGTGTCAACATAAAAGTAACATCCAAAAAAAATTTCATATCCATAAAATTTTTCAGAATTTGTCATATTTTTTAATTTATGAAAATTTCTGGAAAATATTTTAAATGTTTTCAAATTTTTGGAAATTATAGAACGTAGTATCTTAAAAATCTTGGAATTACAGAATTCATATTTACGAAAAATTCCTGAAAAGCTAAACACTCTCAGCAGACTGCTTTTAAAAGAGTTTTTAACTGCTTTAAAATCTAATTTATATAAAGATTTGAAAAATTTTAAAAACTTATTAAATAATACAAAAATTTTTTTTAAATATTCTAAAAAAAAATTTACCAAGGTATGCAAATATTAGATATATTAATAACAATGCAATATATCAAATTAGATGTATTATATTTAACAAAATATCTTTTAAAACTATAATATACAAAAAAATAAGCTTTGAATTATTAATGGCTTTGGTATACTTAAATAATTCGATGTAAATTTATGTTATGTTCAATCGTGTAAACTGCACGCTGAATTTAATTTTCAATTTTAAAACGCAATCCTAATAGAAGTATCACAAATTAAATTAACAAGCACTTTAATAATACTGAAATTCATAGGTTATATTTATTTAGTATCAAATTGTCAACGTTATATTTATATTTGGTATCAATTTACTATTTATGCTAATGAATTTCAGAAATGACAGTTATAGAATATTATAAATAAACATTTTTATCTGTACATTTCCATGTGTATACACACATAGATCGAATACATAACCTCATAAATTACAATGAGCGCTTACCCTGAGTGTAATTCAGTGATTCAGTGTCTGATGGTTTAAAAAATGACGCTTCTGCCATTTTTGGTTATTTGTATCACTACTTTATCAAATGACAATATAATGTAAAATGTTAGAATCTAGGGAACAAACACTATAGACTTTCATCCATACAATAAATATTTATATTAAAATACTGACAGTGCTGCCACTCATTGCTATGGAATGCAATCAACAGAAGAGGTGTGGAATAGATATATATACAGGGTGTCATTAATCGAGCGAATCACCTATCATGAGCAGGTAGAGTAGACCGAACTGAGTCGAAAAGTCCTGTACCATTTTGAGATTGCAGCAATAGTTAACGAGATATTAATTTTTAAAGATTGGCGAATACGCGCGTCCGTTCGGAAAAAATTATATGAAGAAAGAATTTCATCAGAATTATGTTAATAGCAATATGCAATAGATGAAAAATTAAATATAATATAATATACTTATATAAATATAATATATTATAGATAAAATTAGACTTTATGGCTGGCATGGTATGCGTATGTAGGTCAAATATAAAAAATAAAAACATAAAAGGAATTCAGTTCAAATATTTGAGACTTTTACTTGCTCCAAATTACTGATTTTTATCCTTAATAGCAATATATAAAAATTATATTCACTTATGTAGATCTTATATACACAAAATGTATAATTATCTAAATAGCTAAAATATACTATATTAGTCAAAAAGTTAATTACTTGTAGTTTATTATTCAATCTGTTTTGCCACTATATGTTCTGGTACAACTTTAGCAACTTTACGGAATTCCTTACTTAAAGATTTTGGACATTGCATCTGTGTCCAACTGATTGGTACCATAGCTATACCTATAAGATAACAAGTTAAAATAAGCCAACAAAGGCAATATATACCGATTTTTTTACCTTCGTCGCTATGAGCTATAACTACTCCTAACTCATTTTCTGCAGTGCTCAATTGATAAGTATGTATTTCTGTCATTGGCATCTATCAAGAGGTATAAGAAAAATTATACACATAATTCTTGAAACGTTTAGTTTCAGAGTGAAACCAAAGGATACAACTCTCGCGAGAATAATATCTCCAGGTCGATAGCACTTGTACATTTCTAGTTTGTCTTTGTCAATTGCTCGAACATCCTCCTTCCTCAGTATTCCTCTGTACGGTCTTGTTAAGACTATGTCACCCACGCACTTAATGCTGCATTTACAAAATCTTTGATTTACTACAGTGACTATGGCCGTCACTATGTCTCCTGGTGCAGGAACAATGCTTTGCTCTGTTATACCATGTACCTCCACTGTACGAATCTATAACAATTGTGGACCTGATTTTTCATTATCTAGTTAAGTTATGGTTTAGACTTAACCATTTAACTTGATAATAATATAAAAATTGTGTTTTTCTAGCTACTTTAATTAATCATTAAACTGATAGTTTCGTAGCAGTGATATTAAAAGTTATTAATTATAAAACCATCAGTTCAATGATTAATCATAGTTAAAAAAATTATGTTATCTGGTTAAGTCTAATCATAAATTAAGAAAGAGATTTTTTTCAGAAAATAAAACATTAGAGCATTAAAAAAAATTCTATTTTAGTATATTAACTCTCAAAAGATAACATGTGTTTATATTAAACCTATTCCATTATATTCTTTTGGATTTGACAGTGGATCTGGTCTCACTCCCCAATTATATTCTTTAACCAATATTTATAAACAGTTCTATTAGAGATTGTTTTAAAAAGTTATTAACCAATCAAAAAGCTGCATTAGTGTTATAAAACTGATTACTTAAGTCTGAAAATAAAAATAGACTATGAATACTACCAATAATATTATATCTGTAAATTTGAATTATCGCTATTAAAATAAACTTAGTACTAATTTTTTTTTTATACAAAGTGTGTCATTTTGGTTTAAAACTAACTAATGTCTTTTAGTCAACTAAAAAACATTAATTATTTAAATTAAAACCAATCTCAGACTCAACATCGGTGTAACTATAACATTTTAACGTCAGCTCTAAAGAGTTAAATATAAACACAGAAGGTTTTTATACTTTGTCATTTGTCACTAATTTTACGATGCCAGCGAGTTTCGAATAGATGTAACCCTGCTGCTCGTATGTCCCTGCACCAGCTACATTACTCTTATCGGCTACACATAACCTTTGACCTTGAAAAAAACATTGGAAAATTAGTTTAATATTTGTGAATCAAATCAACATCGCTAAAAATGGATAAATAATTACCGGGCACGCAGATGATAGGTTCTTCATTTTCGGTCATTATTTTTATGTTCCTTGATATATCCTTGGTATATATCGCTAATTTATAATTTATCTATAAAAAAAAAACATTAATTTCTTGTGTATAATTATCGTATCAACAATATACAAAAATTTTAAAACTCGAGAAAATGTATATACTCTTACTGATAAAAATTTCGAAATTGTTTTCGAATTATTACATTTAGTTTGGTCTGACAAGTTTCATGAGGTTACGTTCACCACATGTGATATTTGTGATGTGAAGTTCGTTCTTTATTTCTGCATTGGGCGCATTCAGTAGAAAAGAGCGCTACGAGAGCGCTCGCTGTTATTGGTGTATTCTTCTAGATCATCCAATCAGAAATTTAAATCTGGAAGAATATACCAATAACAGCGAGCGCTCTCGTAGCGCTCTTTTCTGCTGAATGCGCCCATTGTTTGAACTGGTGCAAAAGTTCAGTCAAAAAAGAACAGACCATCGCATCACGTGACACGAAACTTTTGAATTTTGATATATTTCGAGAGTTGATATCAGGTACTCTTGTATATTTCCACCATGGAAATTTGGTGATCCTGCTAAAAAAATCTGTCAGAGCTGCGCGCTCAACTTAAGAGAGAAAAAGGACAGAACTTATGTCTATCTCTCTTCCGCCTGTTACTTTTCTCGAAGTAAATTCTTTCGAATACGTTTTAATTGATCCATTTTTTACGCGGTATAAAACTTCGTGCCCTTGTGCGAAATTTGACATTGGTCGAATCCGTAATACAAGATGACTATCTTCGATTAAATAAAAAGCAAATTGAAGGCCTCCCACAGGCCAATGCACGGTAATATCGTAATATGTAAAAGCTAGAAACAAGTAACAAATTCACTGCGCATTTCCATCCTTGGAATGTCTATCAGAGGCTGTTGGATGTTCACCAGTTTGAGGAATTTTCACGGTTTGGCCGTTTTCCAATCAGTAGTACAAGCACGTCGAGATGTTCGTTCCAAGCTGTTAGTTTATCATATTCGAATTCCGTCTTTGAACCGCCATTTCACTGCGAGACCGACACCTCTCGGTTGGAGAAATATACGGCTTACCAAAACAGGCTTTATAACTTACTGTTTACTGCGCGTCGCCCGCATCGAACAGGTATTGATGGCAAATAATCATAAAAATATTTTAAAATCGAAACCCAGTTTATTTCATTGTTGAAAATGTTTATATATATGTTGAATCAAGTTTAGCGAATTCTCGCATAAAAGGGGATTTCATTTATCATTTTTTTATTTTCCTAAAAAAACAACCCAGGCAGAGAACAAGTTATATAGTTAATCTATATATTGGTTATAGAAATAAACATTAGTCGTGAAACGTGCTGCGGTTACGTATCACTGATTGATTACATTCAAACCGCTCGTAAATTTTTCTTCGCGATTTTGTGATTATTATTTTCTAATAAAAATGGTGCGTGAAAAGTGATAACTAGAAAGAATTACAGGGCCTCTTTCACCCCAACTTCTGATTAAATTAATCGATGATTAACGCACAGAAGTGCCAATAGCAGTTTAATGTCTTGCAATGCCGTCTCTCTTCCTCTTTCGAGATAAACTGTGTTTAGTTCTTACATTGGCAATTGTGATGATTGAGTTAATCATCTATTAGCGTTAATAAAGAGTTGGTGAAAGAGGCCTTTAGAAGCGTATTATAAAATGTAGTAAAAACAATAAAATTATACATCAATTTATAGATATATCAATGATTGGTGTGAATCGAAGTATTTGGAGTCAATCGAGATATCATTTCTACGCCTTTCTTGATGAAGTACATCAAAAGTGCAATGGACGCAGACAACGGACGGTATGTTTATCTTATTCCATAATTATTAATTGTATTATTGTGTTATTAAGTGTCCATTTTTATAACCAATATATAGATTAACTTTAATATTAATTTAACTTTTTTTTATATTTTCTAATTATTAATACTAACAAAAAAGTAAGATAAATCTAGATTAAAGTTAATTTACATTAGTAAAATGGACATTAGTTGTACTTTCTTAACACTCGTTTCTACCAAAGTAGATTACCTTTAATCTTGGTTCAACTTATTCTTCATCCTTTTTTAAATCTTAGAAATAAAAAAAGATGGAGAGTTAGTTGAACCAGGATTAAAATTAAACTACGTTGATAGAAACGAGTATTAAGTCTGGTTTACAATAAGTTGCAAACCGTCGCTGGAAAACAGCCAATCAGAAGCACGACTAATTGCTATTGACGCTTCTGATTGGCTGTCGTAAAGAATTACTGGTAACGGCGTGTTTGCAACATTAAAAATTTCTTTGATAATTCTTTAATAACAAAAACTCCCGTACAATTCAAAATTAACTTGGAAAGAAAAAGGGCACTAGGAGTTAAGCGCAGATAACTTTACGCAAACGCTGATTTTTATCAAGCAAAACTTATTTATTACAAAAATTATTCTTACATGTTTTGGCTCATTTTTGAGCCTTCTTCAGAGACAATGAAAAATTGCATAAATAAAATATAATTTAAAATTGACAACAAAAATTAAAAATTTCACCGGGAATCAGTTGACATCAACAGCTATTACCGATTAGCTGGACATTATAATGAGATCACCTCATTGGATCTGTAATTCTCTCAAATAGGCTATCTATGCTACTTATCTCATTTACTCTTTTTTCACATCGGATGCAACAGAAAAATCAAGTCAATTATGATATTAACAAAATTTATATCTCGTAAATAGTTGAGCTTTTGATCTATATATTTACTAAGGCTTTTTTACTCAGTATGTGCAGTGTATTATTTACAATATGCTGAATGATTTTTAATACTCTGTAT